TGATCACAATGAGATGAGTTAGTGAAGATTAGCAACATTATTACTGTACATTGCAGTTTGGACATCAGGCTCTGTAAGGCCTGCTGAAATAGAAACTATGGAAATTTTTAGTTTAAATTTTAAATTATGGAAATTGGTGAGGTCATCTCCTGCAGACACCGTGCCTGTTTTGAGGTTATAGGGGTGAGTGCTCATCTCCTGCAGACACAGTGCTCCTGTTAAAGTTCTGGGGTTGACAGGAGGGTGGCTATTGGACATTAGTGCTGTTCCCCAGTTCTTCATGGTGAGACTAATGCACAGCATTCTGTTGCTGCTGTGAGTAGTAGCTTCATTAAATCCTGTATCGCGTGTCTCAGAGTACTGGCCAGCATATTGCCATGACAATGAGGATTACGGCTGTAGAAAAAAAACAGAGACGGGGGAGAGAGATGCACACAAAGAGAAGTGCGAGGGTGAGTTTCTATTTATAAGTCTGTAGTCAGGAATATCTCCTGAAAATGGGGAGAGAGAGCTGCTGTGGTCCACAGGCTTCAGACAGAGGTGGGAATGGAGCTGTCTGCAAGCCTGCCCCCTTCTGAGTGCAGTGTTCCATCACCGCCACCATTCTTTCTAAACCAATGGCGTGTGCAGGTACCAGACAATAAATTATATTAATGATTATATAACTGTCATAATCGACAAGCTAGAAGAGGAAGAAAGGAAGTAGGGGAGCATTCCTTACTAAGACAATGTCTGGCCAACCTTTGACAAAACAGGGAAACACTTTGCTTAACATTTATCAGGGCAACATTAAAACCTAAACTGTGTTGGTGGCGGGGGCCGTTTCCTCATGGTTCAAACCTGGCTTGCAACTTTCTGCCAGGCAACAGGGCAAACAAAGTCTATTCCAGGGGCTCTGCTGTTGCAGTCGCAGCCTGCAGTACCTGCAGAGACTGGAGAGAAATGAAAGCCCACAGGTGCCCTGAAAATGCAGCCAACTGAGAACCATTTCTCACGTTGCCACGTGGCCGTTAATATTTCATCAAAGAGCGCCAGCGCTGTGGGGCATCAGCGGACACCGTATTTATAACCCTTGTATTTAAGAGAGGCCTGCTGGTTTCTGAAGGACCCCACTGCGATCTGAAAGATTAGGAGCACAGTGTCATTTACTGTACCACAGGAAGCCACAGGGGGGCACTGCCTTCACTGAAGAGCACAACAGGGGTATAAGTCCTGTGAAAGCCCACACCTCAGGCACGCTCTCTCTCTCCACCACACACCACTGCTCCCAGGCAAACTGTGTCCTGGCCTGCTAAAACACCGCTCGAACCCCTCACCGCGTCTGACCAACACCGAGCAGACAGCCCAGTAAAGCACCGCCTTCCTCTCTCACACCCGGGGGGAGCAGCCCGTGTTTTGCGTTCTTGTAGCCAGGAGCATATTCTCCCGCTGTGAGCGGGAAGCAGACGGAGGCGCTCAGCCAGGCGGGGGTGGGAGGGGTCTGTCCGGCGGTTCGGGGAGACTGCGACGGGTGGTCCGCAGCTCGGAGAGGCGCTCTGGAAGGAAACCCCCGAGGGGGAGGAGAGTGCCTGGGCAGCGGCCCTGATTCCGGCTGCGCTCCTGGTTTCACTCGTGGTTCTCCTGTCCGCCTGCGCAGATGGAGGAACCAAAAAGCTGCGCAGCCACATCCGCCGCAGCACGGAGACGGGCATCGCCGTGGAGATGCGGAACCGCGTGACGCGCCAGGGCAGCCGGGAGTCCACGGACGGCAGCACCAACAGCAACAGCTCCGACGGCACGTGAGTCCGATCCGCCGCCCAGAACCACGGGGTTGTTAATGAGGATGGCTGGTCTTCATCTCAATGGATCCCAGAGCACTTGAGCTATGGGGGGGGGCTACCTCACCCACCACTGAAGGGCAGCCCCACCTGTGTCACAGCTGCAGCCCCGCGACTGAAAACACGCCCTGCAGTTTAGCCAATCAGTTCTCAGTGGAGAACTCAACAGCCAATCGTGTCTCTCTGTGGGCGGGAATAATGCTAATAATAATAATAATTGCTTACACTTATATAGCACTTTTCTGGACACTCCACTCAAAGCGCTTCACAGGTAATGGGGATCCCCTCCACCACCAGTGTGCAGCCCCACCTGGATGATGCGACGGCAGCCATAGTGCGCCAGAACGCTCCCCACAGTGGGGAGGAGAGCAGAGTAATGAAGCCAGTTCAGAGATGGGGATTATTAGGAGGCCATGATTGGTAAGGGCCAATGGGAAATGTGGCCAGGACACCGGGGTTACACCCCTACTCTTTTCTAGAAACGCCCTGGGATTTTTAATGACCACAGAGAGTCAGGACCTCGGTTTTACGTCTCATCCGAATGACGGCGCCTGTATAGTACAGTGTCCCCGTCACTATACTGGGGCATTAAAACCTACATGGACCACAGGGTGAGCGCCCCCTGCTGCTCCACTAACACCTACAGTATTACAGCAGCAACCTCAGTTGTTCCCCGGAGGTCTCCTATCCAGGTACTGACCAGGCTCACACCTGCTGAGCTCCAGTGGGCTGCCAGTGGTGAGCTGCAGGGTGATATGGCTGCTGGCTGTGTTGACTCGTGCACAGCAGCTCTGCAGGTGGTAGAGCGAGGAGTGGACTGGGCTGCTGCACAGTGGGAGTCGGAGCAGACGCACTCTTACTGACACCTGCTGCCCTCCAGGTTTATCTTCCCGACGACGCGCCTGGGAGCCGAGAGCCAGTTCAGCGACTTCCTGGACGGTCTTGGCCCCGCTCAGATCGTTGGGCGACAGACTTTAGCCACATCCCCCATGGGTGAGTGATTGACAGGCGCGCTGAGCTGAGCAGCAGGCAGCGAGCCCTGAGGTGTGGTGTGGGACTGGGGCTCATCTTCAAGACCCATCTGAGCACATTCCTAACAGTGCTGGTGGCCCAGGAGAGGAACCCAGCCATGGACAATAGCTAAGAAGCCTCCTGTTAGGGCAGTTCCTAGGTCTTACTAGGTGTCTCCACCATATTAGAAATGCAGAAAGGTACTGTTTTAGGCCACAGCCTCAGCTCAGGACGCTCCAGGTAATTATTTTTGTTTTCTAATCAAATCATAGTTCATCTTCTTTTAAGCTAAGTCCGCTGAGCTGATCCACAGCTGTGAGCTTTTGAGCGGCCTTGCAAACCGTTCAGAAGAGGATCTTCGGTTACTCTTTCGACGGGGTGCGCTCCTGGCTGCCTCCACCTGCTGGTTGGCAGTGGGACTGCACTGTTGCTGTGCAGATAAAAAGTTATGGTTCGTGGGTCTATACCAGTGCTCTAATTAGGAAAATAGCAGGACAGCTCATTGTGTGAGCGTAGCAGTTGCAGTGTATTGAGCCTCTGCAATCCTGGAGAGTGGTGAATTCTCTGCTGCCTGGGGAGCAGCACTTTGCAGCCATGAGGCCACATCTCCCTTGAGAGCCTGTGACTGAATCAGAGCCAGACTCGTATCCACCCAGGCAAACCTGTTTCCCAAGGGCAGCTCTTGACCCGGCTGTGTCCCGGGCGCACGAGGAGTGCGTCTCACGGTCTGTCTCTCGCTTCCGGCCGCAGGGGACGTCCACGTGGGCATGGTGGACAGGAGTGGACAACTGGAGGTGGAGGTGATCCAGGCCCGAGGACTCACCCCGAAACCCGGCTCCAGGACGATCCCAGGTACCCCGCCCTGCACCTCGGGCAGCTCAGCAAGATCTTAACCTGTTAGGCAAGGAGCAGGGGCTGTCGGGACCGGTCAAGGCCCCAGCCTGTGGGCTCATGAGACACAGGGTCTCCATCCATCTTCTCACTGCTTGATCAATACAGGGCTGTGGGGGGGCCAGCAAGCCCCGGGTGCAAGGCGGGATATACCCTGTACAGGATGCCAGTCTGTCGCAGGACACACACACGAACACGCACACACTCACACTCACACCAGGGCCAGCCCATCACAGGACACACACACACCCACCACTGTGTCTTAAGAAACCGGAGCACCCGTAGGAACATACAAGCTCCACACAGACAGCACCCCGGGCCCCAGTGCTGTAAGGCAGAAATGCCAACCACTGTGCCGCCTTGCTGAGGGGTCCTCATATTGAAGAGAACTGACTGAAGGTTCCAGGTGTTTGACAGCTCTGACCAGGCTGAAATGGCTGCCCACTGTGCAGAGGGCAGCGTGTCCTCATTCCGGCGCCCTCCTCCTTGCAGCTGCGTACGTGAAGGTGTACGTGCTGGAGAACGGGGCCTGCCTGGCCAAGAAGAAGACCAAGGTGGTGAAGAAGACCCCGGACCCCGTGTACCAGCAGGCGCTCCTGTTCGACGAGAGCCCTCAGGGCAAAGTGCTGCAGGTAAGCGCTGGGCGGGAGGGGCTGTGGCCCGGGAGACCCGGAGAAGAGCCGACGGGATCTCTCTGTCGACACCTGATGCCGACGCCCTCTCCCCCCCCCATCTGCAGGTCATCGTGTGGGGCGACTACGGCCGCATGGACCACAAGTGCTTCATGGGCATGGCCCAGATCCTGCTGGACGAGCTGGACCTGTCCACCATGGTGAGCGGGTGGTACAAGCTCTTCCCCACCTCCTCCCTGGCCGACCCCACCATCGGCCCGCTGACCCGCCGGCTGTCCCAGTCCTCGCTGGAGAGCGCTACCAGCCCCTCCTGCCCCTAGAGCCCCCCCCTGCCCCGGAGAGCTGAAGAGGGACGCTGTGCACAGGGACACCGACCTCCTCTTCCTCCAGCACGCGCCCGGAGAGCTCCTCGACCGCCGCCCGGCACACAGCGAGCTCTGCTCCTTGCTCTGCGCCAGCCATGCGCGCCTGCGTATAGAGTCACACAGACACACCTCCAGAAATACATACACACAGGCGCCCCGCGCGGAGACCAGCGTGAGGCTCCAGCTCGTCCGCTGTGATGGCGCAGCAGCTCAGGCCTCCCCTGCTGCTCCAGGGCCACGAGAAAGGAGACTCCCAGGGAATTCTTTCTCTCGGTTTGGAGTGAAGGGAGACAGGCGGGAGAGCCATTGCCCGGACACAGCCAGAGAAAAGAGCATCACAGCTGAACATGGAGGAAGAGTTTCTCTGTCCCACTTGCCCGTCTGATTTAAAAAAAAAACAAACTTAAAACAATCAAGCTGATCTAAGGACATAAAAAAGTCAACAATGTTCACGATGAACTAATCCAATGCTGCTTTGTTCCTTTTTATGTTCTATTTTTAACCTGTTTCTCAGAAGATGTAGCATTCACATTACTTTCTGGCCTTCCTCTCAGGTCACAGGAAGTGAGAAATTGCTGGCTTCCTGTGCGCATCCATCCATACCTCCCCTCAAGGGGAAACTGAAGCATCAACTAGTTAGTTCCTAGGTACCCATTCACCTCAGAAGCATCTACAACTGGCTTGATATCCCTCTATACCAAACAATTTAAAAATGTTTATTTTTTAAAAAAACCAAAGCAAATATGAATTATTTTAAAACAAAGGATATGTAGCAAAGTCAAGGACCATAAAGGTTAATGACTTCAAGGAAATGCAAAAAAATAAATAATGAAGTGAAAATCTGAATCAACGAAACACTAGGAAAACAGACACACTGGGCAACCACAGAACACCACATTAAAAATAATCAAGGGTTGCCGACTGAAATGCACATATTTCTAACTGTTTGGTAGCACTAATATAATGAGTTCAGTAAAATATTTATAAATAGATTATATATTTGTTTTTGTTTGTAATAAAGCATCCTGCATGCTGACTTGCACCCCCTACTGGAAAACTGAAGTGCTGTTTTTAGCTTGCCTTTGAAAAGGAAGTAGATCCTGAACTATATTTATTTTGCCTAATAACTACTGGTCTTGTTTTACGACATCAAAATCTGCACTGACAGCTCACCCAAAAGGAGAGGCTCTTCCCGGCTGTGAGCCGCCCAAGGGAAACATCCTGAAGTCCCCAGTCCCGACAGGCCCCTGCCTCGTTCCTAGCTCTGCTTTCAAAGAGGGGAGCGATGCACCGATGCTCACACTTCGCCGCTGGGAACGGCCTGACTCTGTATCGCACAACAGAGCACAACTGTCACCAGACTGAACTGCAGAGGAGCCTTTCCAGATACAATCATATACCTGCCACCTCATCTCTCCTGCCCTCCTAGAAATCGGCAACTGTCCTTACGTCTAACAGCCTCTGACCGTTTAGACAAGCTGTCTTGAAGGCTCTGTACGTGGCTAAGGCTCTTGCTGAATGGTTTGAACGTTATCACAGTTGTCCTCTTTCGGAACACATTGGCCTCACCTCTCTCTTCTGTGTGAAGTCATCATGGGCCACTTTCTGAAGCTCCTGGACAAAACCTGAGCCCCCAACAGAGGCTGGGAAGGGACAAGCTCAAAGATTTTGTTTCTGTTTTTTGTAGCTTCTGGGACAAGCTTGAGCCCTGCCTGGGGCGGACTGCTGACAGGGTGTCCCAGCTCTGACCACGTGTAGCACTGCCCCAGGCAGCCCCCCCTTCCCGCCGCTCAGCACCCCGGCCAGCACGCAGGAGCCTCTCCCCCTGCCCCCCGGGAGGTACAGGCCCGTCCCCAGAGCGGACCGGAGGATTCCCGATTCTTTCACACTGAAACCAGCGCAAGCCCTTAGGAAAACCGAGCAGGAAAGGCGCCGCTGATGGGAGCGAAAGAAAACCACATTCTTCCTGCCAGAGAGGATTTTTTCCCCATTTGGATGTGAGCTGGGTGATTGTATCAGAGAGACGTGATCCTCAGAGATCAGTTTGCCTCTGGGAAAGCCTCCGTGTTGGCACCCGTCTCCAGCTGCTTTGTTTTTGTAGAGAGAGCCCATTAGAGTGTAAATTCTGCTACAGCTTTTGTTGAACCTTGGCGTCTCTGTGACGAGTAGCTGATTTAATGCCAGACTTGCGAGCTAAATGTTCAAGCTGCACATATTTGCATGTTCCTTCTGTATTGTCAGGCCAAATCTACTTCTTCACAGCAGCCTGGTCCACAAATACTGATCTGTTTGCTTAACTGATCATTTTCACAACTGATCTCTAGTGCATTTAAGAGATTTCTTTGCTGATGTACTGATGTATCTGGGATTCCTCAGGAGCACATTTTTTTTTCCTGCCGAATTTTGTCCCCATCAGGACACCATTTTCTGGAGAACAAAATCACACATCTGGAGAGTCAAAAACGGAAAGAGACCCACCTGACCAGCACACATCCTTTCTCTAATCTTCTGATTTGAGAGAGAAAGGACTCAGCCAGGCTTCCTGTCTCTGTCTCTGGATAAACAAGGCCCAGCAGGCCTGCAGGATAGACAGGGGAGCCCACTTCCCCACCACAGCCCGTGCAGCTCGATGCTGACCTGCTCCCTCCTCGCAGCTGAGCGAGACAACGCTTCACATCGCTGCCACCCCGTTCTCGAGTGCAGAATGGAGGAGCTCCGCCCATTGTCATTCCAAGCCGTGCCAACTGCCCAGGAATCAGTGCCAATCTCAGAACGCTGGCACACCTTTGAAAGGAGCTGTGAGGCGCACGAGAGAAAGGGAGGCGCTGCACAGTCCAACGCCTGGCATGTCACGACTTGCTGAGCAGGCCCGGCCCTTGTCCCTCCTGCCCGGCGCTGCTGTAATCTCTCTTTCACACCCGGCACTCGAGAGAGGCCACTGTTCCTTCCAGATACTCCTGGACAAGCAAGTATTCTAGAAACAAGTATTCGGGACATGTCTTCACACAGAAAACTGTTTTTTCCCCAATGACTATGATTCCAAGCCGTAGGTGAAAGGTTTGGTGTTGACACCGCGACCTGCACAGCCATGAGACCTGCTGCATCATGTGGAGGACGATGACAGAGATGACCACAAGGTCAGAACCTCCAGAGTCAGTATTGTATCATCTTGGTTTTGATTGGTCATTTTTTTCTGCCCTGTTGTTTTATTTTACCAGGTGTTTGAAGTTTGAGTTTTGGTTCATTAGTACAGACCAGATATGCAACTGTTTTAGAAAGAATGGCTCTCAAACTATTATTCTGGAAGGGACAGCCTGTCTGACGCCTACTGGAAAACATTCATGATTTGATTCATGACAGTCCTGCGCTAGACTGTCTTCTAATTTGTCTTCTAATTTATTAATTACAAGGGTCCTTGTAATTCACTGAACACACGCTGGTTTCTCTTTGGAAAAATACAGAGTTGGTTTATTCTTAACAAAGGGGGCAGGGGCAGCACATGGACTCATTGCTAAACTTTTCTGTGAGATTTTGTGTTTATTTTTAAGTCTGAACAATTTGAACAATTCTGTCCCAAAGTGAGCAGGGCTGCTGAGTCTGTCAATGAAAGTCAGTCAAAGGCCAACAGCTTTGTAAAGCAGTGCGATTAGCTGTCATTTTATTTTGAACCAGTAATATTACAGCCTGTGGGGGTGGTGTAGCATTGTGGGTAAACCTTTGGCCTCCTAACTCAGAGGTTGAGGGTTCAAGTCCCTGCTGCAGCTGTATAAGTAGCTGGCTCTTGGGCCAAAGTTTAAACCAAAATAAAAAGCTGGAAACAATCCATTTTCATTTAGACATTTCCCGGTGGCACTTTGGGGCAGAAGTATATCTAATAAACACTAGGCACATTTGCCTGAAATACTGTACACATGTAGATATACATAAGTATTAAGCACCCTACATCTTAAATAAGTTAATTCACTAGATCACCTTATCCTCAATTTGCATAGTTTAATGATATTATTTCCATTTACTAAAGTAGCAAATAATCTTGGCTCAACTCAAAAGCTAGTAAGGACACTTATGTCTAAAGCCGAATCAATGTGCATTTGAATGACCACTTGTGATGTACAGTATTTTGAATATTTCAGCAACACAACTCATCCACTGTGTAGTTAATGTGATTGAGACCAGAAAAGCACCGTCGACTCCCTTCTGGTGTGTGTAATGAGGCTGCACTGGCCGGGAGAGTGACCCCGCTCGGCGAGCGCAGGCCCGGGGGAAGGCAGCCCGCGACAAAGGGCCAATCCAGGAGACGCAGCAGAAACAGCCAGCAGGCAGAGACGGGGCCTAAACCAGCCGGGGGGCGTGAGCACAGGCGGGGGACTGAGACAACAACGAAGCCCAGCTGGGAGTCCGCGCCAGACTCCGGGGAAGAGCCCAATGACTGAGGCAGGACGGAAATACCCGATGTCAACAAGGTTTTACCCATTGATTAGGAGCAGGTGGTACAGATAAACGCCCATGTCACGTTCTTACGCCATCAGTAGAGCCCGCAGTGACATGGGTACTACAGGACGTCAACAGAACCTGATACATAACCGAAATGCCCGCACTTCCCAAAAGGAGGAGTGAAACCTGACCAGCGGACAGGACATTCCCCTTTCCAAAGTACCTTGGTACTGAAGTATCTTTTTGGACGTGGGAAGATGCCGATTGTCAGGGTCTCCTGGGTGCACCTCTGCGTGTGGCCCAGGAATCTGGAGCGGTTCTGGAAAGTGTGATGTGACTCGGGAAGAGACTCTCGTCTCTCCGCCCGTGTAGCATAAATCCGTCCAGGCCAGCCCCCCGGTGAGCAGCCTGGCGCTTGGGCCTTAATCGCACACTAGAGGAACGCCCTTCGAAAATATTCATTGACAAAAAGGTACCATTTAGTTTACAAAAGCAAGACCATTCATTCAAGAAAGATTTGAATATCAAATGTGTACAGGTACTGAAACACTAAACCCTTTATACATGGCTGAATGTTCTTGTTCTTGGTTCTTGAAATGTTAAATGATTATTAGACTTGGATTATTTCTGAAATGTGTTTTTTATGGGATTACTTCTAAGTGTGTATATGTTTTGCTCTGAAAACAGAAACAATATTAATTAAGGATACTGTAAACGATATGGAATTCTTAAAATTCATCTATACTGTCCCACTTTGCTGCTGGCTCTCAGCCTGAGCTGGCTTGCAGGAGGGGCAGCAGGGGGCTGTGGGGCACACTGTGCCTCTGCTCTGCATGCTGGGAGCAGAGGGAGCAACACCGCCCTGCCCAGTCTGGGGACGCATGAGAGGAGAGAGAACAGGAGGGAGGAGACGTGCATTCTTAGTGGCTCCTGACTTCAATTTGGAGGTGTCCAGGTGGAGGCGTGATTTGGGCAGTTAATGCCAGTGCAGAGAAAAACGAACTTGGCGTGGATTTAGGACAAACTAGATCCACCATTCGGAGGTCAATTCAAAAGAGCTTTCTTATGGCCTAAGAACAGCACCTGCCTCCACAGGGCTGCACGGGGCTTCTGGTGGCCTTGGAGGTCAGGAGCGAGCGGTCTCCAGCAGATTTCATGTTCTCTCTTCCGGGCTTTAGATGGGCTCCACTGAAAGAAAACCGAGATGTTAGAATCTCTTTGTAAAAGCGCATTGCGATGGATATCCATTCCGTCTCAGAGATATCCCTGGAATGCTAGCAAAAGCATCCCGTTTTGTTTCCCAGAGGGTTTACTTTGTATTTTTTTTGTCACTAGTGTCTCCTGTTGCCTGTGGGGGGGCGTAGCGGGGGCCGGGAGACACGGAGCTCATACAGGCTCATGAGCACAGTTTGCGGAAGGAATGGTGGGGAGGGGCTTGTATCCTTCAACACACATCAGAGCCAAGCAACAGCCCCAGGAACAAAATAACAAGGGACCGGACACATGCTGGTACTGTAGCTCCTAGCTGACAGGGCACCAGAGGGAAGTGCCAGGCATGGTCCCTGCTGGCACCTGCTCGATTCTGCCTCGGCTGGACCTTGAATGTACTGTTTGCTTAGGGCGTCGAGGCAAACACTGTTTCTACTTAGAAAACAGATCCCCTGTCCCCCAAGCTTTTCTCGAAGCTTCCCTGAAACTTTTTAACCCGACTTTGTTTGAGATTGGCACCACTTGCTGCCTTTGCTTGTATTGCCATACAACATTGGAGATGAGTTTTATTGTTTGTCTTTGATGAAAGAGAAAAAAAACATTTAGAGGTGCGTTTAGCAGGAGTTTGTGTACAAAGCAGTTCTACTGTCTTACTCTGGGACTGCTGAGCGAAGAGGGCTTTCAGTCCAGATGCCTTATTTTATTTTGACAGAAACTGATTTATTAATGTGCCACTGGAAGCACAACGAAAAGATCGATATTTTGCATAGAAATATTTATTATATTCAAATACGTTTAAGGTTTTATGAATGTATTTCTGACATCGATTTTTGGCCTAAATCCTCTGTCCTCTCGCGAGCTTTGCAGCCTCCCCCCTGTTGCAGGGTGATCAGTAGGACACAGCAGGCCAGTCCTTTGTCACACAGGCAGCTCTGGAGAAAAGTGCACTCGCACACAGCCACGAGCAGGAGGGAGGATCCCGCGGGATCGAGTCTCCGAGACTCGCTGAGATTCTGCACACGTTAGGAAGAACAGATTTACTGCAGCTCCTGGGAAGCTACAGGACTGCAGGAAACGCCTTTTCCGTGTAGCATAAATTGAGCCTTCCATTCTTAACGGTCAATAACACGACGGCAATAAACCCTTCGCAGGAGGGGCTACAAATGGCTTCGAGGTCTCGGCTTTCGCTGCCAAAGACAGAATCATCGTGGTGAATTTGGCCTGTCTTGGGTTTCTGCATGCGTTTGTTCGCCAGTCACAGACCACATCACACATTTCACTTCTGCGTTCTGTGTCTGTCCGATGTTCAGGTTTGTTGTGTCATCGTAAGAGCTGGACCCTCAATGGGCCGGGCCTGGCCTGGCCTAGTCGACCCAGTTCCAGAACTGGATCTTAACTGGGCCAGACCAGGGTGACCTGGTTCCAGAACTGGATCTTTACTGGGCAAGACCAGTGTGACCCAGTTCCAGAACTGGATCTTTACTTTGCCTGACCAGGGTCACCCGGTTCCAGA